ACCTCCTTGAAAATCTCCTGCTCTACACATGTGCCTACTATCATGACCCTTTCATCTCCTGGCACTTTCAACTGCCCTTTGCCTCCACAAGTTTGTCACTGTCACACTTTTCTCCCCTACTCTGTACTCAGCATCTCAGACTTTCACACAGTTCAGCATTGCCAAGGTGACAACGAGTTAAATTAAACTGTGCTAAAAGAAGAAAGTTAGAGAAGAATGAGGTCCTGCTAACCCATCCTAATCACCATTGTCTCTTCCCCTTGTGTATTCTTTGGTAATTTTCCGGAGAAAACTGAAATGGGTTATCACTACATCATATTCTGTAGTGACAGGGCTGGATCTAGTGAGAACGTTCCATTTGGGACTCTTAATATTTTTATTTACCAAACATACTTTCAGTTCTGCCTCTGCCAAAGTCTCTGGTTATGGGTCTTTGAAGCTTTGACCCAAAGCTATTTCACAACCCCAAATGGAATCGATACAGTTACCACACAACTCTCACACTTTGAAACAGCTTTTTACACTTTGTCCAATTCTATTTATCTGAACACCACATATAATTTCTTATATAGCTAAGCAGTAAACAGACCACTGTCAAAGTTAAATTTCTGACCCGGTGTCCTGTATATGAGAAGATTATTAATGGATATTTCTGTTCACAGCCTTATAAGGTCCCTCCTAAACCCAAAGGTTAGGCTTTTCCTTAGAACCTAGTCCCCTTTCCTCCTATTTCCCAAGAAGTACACAAGCCAAGGAAGTATACTTCCTGTGGTAGAAGTTCAAAGCTCTCTGTCCTAGAGATGGACTGTGATTTTATTCCTGGCCTCACTGCTTACTAGCTATGTGGCTTTGGGCAATTGTGTAACCTCTCTAAGCTTATGTTTCCTGATCTGTAAAATGAGAATACTAATATCTCTATATCTTGTGTATTGTGGAGAGTGAATGAGATAATGCATGTAAAGTCGTCAGTACAGTGCTGGTGATTAACCTCCTTTTAAGTTGTTAAAAACCAAGTACAGAGAGAATTGGTGTACATAATCTTTTTTTTAATTTGCAAAGCCTGTTTAATGCTACAAGTTTTCCTCTCTAGGATTCTTCTGGTTACACATAGCTCCAACACATGCTGCTGTGCGTGTGGTGCGTAACCTGACTCCCAGCTAACGACAGTATGTGGTCGGTCTTAGCTGTCCTTGTGCATACAGCATTCCTTTTGGCAATAATTCTGCATGTGTGTGTAGGGCAGCCAGAAATGGAACATCCTCTTTCAAAAATCGAGCATGATCTTATAACACAAAAACTTAGGTACTTAAGCCAGTGGCATCAAAAAGGACAAACATCCTCTTTCTATTTCAGGTTAAATATCAAAGGAAATAAAAGTTTTAGGGTTAAATATCAGTCTCCTCTGAATTTAGCAGGATATGAAAGACATTACAAGAAATCTAATCTCTCCCACCTCCAAGATGACTTGCCAACTGGCCTGTCTGCTTCAGAATGCCACCACCAGAGAGGGTTTCATTTGGGTTCAAGTAATGGCTCTTTCTGTTTAATGACAAATGGAGGAGTGGAATGTCTTCATGGAGAAATTTCTGTCTTTGTCTAAACCAGTCTATCAGAGGATTGATATAAAACAAGTCAGTATAGATGTGTCCTTGAGGGTGTGATAATTTTGGAGTTCTAAGTCTAAAGGAATAAAACACTATAAAGTGTGTGCAAGAAAAGGTTCTGGGCAGGGTGGGACAGACAAAATGGGTGAGAAAAGCCTGCAAAATACAAACTTCATCAATTTGCCAAAAGTTGGATTGAAAATTGTTGATTGCTTCCAAAACAGTAAGACTCTTAACTCTAGGCAGCTTTTCTCCTGACATGTCGCATCAGTACAGTCACTGAGGGTGCTGAATGAAGAATGAGACCAGAAGTGTTGCAGATTTTTCTCCTTGAGTTCAGGTCTCTACCACCACTGCTCCTTTGCCCCAGGGCTGGTTCAGTTTCAATATTTTATCCTCAAATAAGGGGGAAAAAACCTTAAACCCAATCTTTAGCTAAATTTGAAAGTTCTCTAACAAAACAAAATAAAAAGTGGCCTGCCACATAACTCAAACCAAATATCTATTTATCTTAGTATTTGAGCCCTGAGCTCTGAATTTTTTATAGAGAATTCTACAAATTGGATCTTTTAATACTGGTTTCTGTATTGTCATAACTGAGGGTCCAAGAAGTCATAACAAAATAAAGTGGAGAAAGTTTTTCTTTAAAAGAAATAATTCTTGGAACACTTGCTCTTAGAACCCAAAGCCTCCATGGGAGAAATCCAACTACCCTGAGGTCACCATGCTGTGAAAAGCCCAAGCCATATGGAAAGGCCCTGGAGGATGAGACATCATGTGGAAAGAGAGGCCAGGTAGCACCAGGGTGCCAGATACATGAGTGAAGAAACCATCTTGGAAAAATGCACTCTCTAGGCCCAGCTGCCCCAGTTGAAAATACATGGAGCTAGCCAGCTAATGCTTCTCAAATTCCTGACCTAAAACATCAACCACAGGAGAAAGACCATATGCCCTAGAAGAGTTCCTCAGTGAGCAAGAGTTTCAAGACATGTCTCAGTTGTTCCTAAGCCCACTAGGATCTCAGCATCATGGGGAGGAAGTAGTAACATTCCTAACTCATGATCAGGCATCATATTTTCTGATGGAGAAGCAGTCTGAGAAAGGCCAGGAACAATGTGGACCTTAACAACAGGATAGATACCCAAATAGAAATCTAAATAAATATATCCAAATAATACATCCATATCTATTGGATCCATAGTTATTCAAATAGAAATCTGTAAGCTAGTTAGAGTGTTGTATCAAAACACCATTTAGTTATTGGAGAAACCATGAGAACCAGGACAGTGAGTATTTTACTCTAACATGGAGAGACGTGATTGATAATCTCCTTGGCACAGAGCTCCGTGGCACTGTATAAAATCAAGAAATTAAACAAAACACTGGGAAGAGGCAAAACATTGAATGTAATCAAGTAAAATTTCTAGTCACCTAGAAAACAACAGCTTACTCTTGACATTAGTTTAATCGTGTTGAAAATTAAAACAGGTGATTTCTTTTTCTAAAAAGCAGCAGAGAAAAAGAACAAAAGACAAAGAAATGGCCAAACATGAAGGCAGTATGGTAAACGGATAAAGAGATTTGGAAAAATTAAAACCCACTGTTGCTGGAAAATGGTCTAGGAAAACTGGGGAAGAAATGGTAAGGCGCATTTTTAGAATTTCCTGCTTACGAAAACATCATTAAGAATTATTCAAAACCATCATCAAAATACTCAATGTCAACTACTATCTTCTCTAAAATAGCTTAAATATCTTCACAAGTCAAATTCATTTTTGCAGGGACTGACACCAGTAGACCACAAAGTGTAGAAGTTCAAAAAGTGATGGAAATGATCATACACATACACAACTCACAACTCCTTTTCTATCTTAACTCATGTACCCCCTTCCTCAACTATTTTTTCTCCCTCCTCTTTCTCAGTTAGGAATAATATAAAATGAAAAACAAATGTCTTCCACAATACCTGTGACTTTGTGGATACTTCAAATTAATTATCTTTCTGTGAATAAAGTTTACTTAGTATGGCATTTGTTATCAAATAGGATATGAATATTTAAAATACACACTAAGTCATAAAAATAGGCAAACAAACAACAAAAACCTGGAACAGCACAATAAACTTCTCCATCAAATTAAATAAGTAACATTATAAAGAATGCACCAAGTTTAGCTTACTGTGTGAATTTTCACTAAGTATCCTCACTAAGGTGATGTTTTGAAACATTCGAAACATTGTGTGTTCCTACCCTGCCTTACCTCATTTCTCTTTCCTCAATTTTTGCCTAACGTAGCTACTATCAAATTCTTCAATTGTTTACTTTTAAGCAGGTCTAATGTTCTACTTCTTAGACCACTGAACCTACATTATACCCATGAAGCTAGTATAACTGTGCAGACCTCCTCGTTCAGGCAATGTTATAAGGGCCTCATCATTGTTCATGATCTCTATGTATCCTGTCATCTTTCCAGGGTAAGACTGCCACGGTCTTGGACTCTTCATTTGGTGGTGTCTAATTCTGTTCTCTTTACAAAGAGCTAGGGTTACACTCAGCAAAGGTTACCATTTACGTGAGACATGAAGCCTGCTAGCATAACTCATTACCAAAGTAAAATCCCTAGCTATTTTTTACTTCAAGGACATCCCCAGTGCTACCTAAAATCAAGGAACACTTCAGGACAGGTCACATGCAGGGCTGACACATATTCTGAATCCACATTTTCATTTTGTTACTCTAGAGTGTGTTGTTATTTCACAGCAGTTGAGCAAAAGGTTTTCTTCTTTTTGAAAACCTTCTTTTCTATCCCCTAGAGGAAAATACAGGAGAATCAAATACAAAGACTACAGTGGGTTTAGCAAGAGAACTCAATATTTAAGAGTCAGCTTTCTTTTAGAAATGATTCCTTTTCTGGAAGGAGGAGGGGTGGTTCTTTGGTTTGGTTTTATCACTTACCCAAATGACTTCTGAAAGGTTTGTTTTCATAAACAAATAACATTTTAAACTGTTTAAGTAATTCCTAAAGCTCAGCTCATCTTTCAAACCTCTGCTTTCTGGAGTGGCAGTCTAAGCCACAGGCCTAAGTGGTGACTGCTTTTGCTTTTAGCTACAATGTTCATCTTTCTTTCTCTTATCCTGATGGAATTTCATCTACTCTGGTAATTAGGAAAATCAGAGATTTCAAAACATGATCAGACTCTGAAATTTTAAAAATATTTAAAAAGAATAAACAGATCTAGAAGAAACTTTAGGGACCATCTCACTCCTCATTTCTCATTAGACATGAGATAACTGAGACCCCCAAAGTCATATAACTAATTAATGACAGATCTAGAACCAAAATCTAGATTTCCTCAATCCTGAATTAGTGTTCTCTCTTCCACACTACCTGGCCTCTCTATATTTTTATCCATTTCTATATGATCTTCAGACACAAATTATTTAACTCATGCATACAAGTGGCATATTCCACAGTTAGATTCAGGGCATTTCATGGTTCTGTTAGTTATCACTGTCTCATTTCACTGGTTGGAAGATCATGGACAGAAGATGGGAAGTCCAGCCCTGCCTCTACCCTGTGGATTAAATTACAGCATGGGCTGTCTGGTGCCTTTTCCATGAAATTTGATTGTTTAATGCCTAGAACAGGAAACATCTGGAATGATAGGGGGCCAGTATGATCTTCCCTTCATAAGGACTGGATTTTCTCTTTTTTTCACTTTAGCCTGGGGAAATAGGACAACGTCAAGGTGGGCAAAAATCTGAATCTCATCCACCTATTCTGTTGATGTTTTCCAGCTTCTCCTCTGAGATATGCCAAGGGGCTTAGCGGAAATTCTAGCCTCTTGAACCAACTGATCTTATATTTATTTATAAGGTATGTTTCTTTCAAGAAGGTCAAAATGCTTCATATATACTTTCACTTAATATTTCTCTTCCCATGAAGGGAAGCATTTCATTTTTTATCTTTCCACCACAGACAGAGTTTCCCTGCTTTTGTTTATAAAGTTTCTTTACAGGGTCTGACACTTAGAGGTTAGAATCTCTAGGAGACACAAACATTCTCAACTGACGTCTCAAGCAATATTGCGAACAAAGCAAATTAATTCATTCAACAAATATTTATTGAGCATCTCCTAGGTGCCTGGCACTATTCTAGGCACTAGGGATCCAAGAATAAACAAAACAGATACATCTCTCCCCCAAGGAGCTAACATACAAAGTAAAAAGACTGATCTATTACCCAGTATATTCAAAACCATAAAAACACTATCCTGATAAAAGAAAAAAGTCACTACAATCTCAGCTACTCAGACTAATGTCTCCAGTTTGACATGTATCTGGTAATACAGAGTCCATTTGCTAGAAGCCTATCTGGATTACACTAGAAAATAGGAGATTTGGATTCTAATCCTGACTCTTCTACCAACAGACTGCATGACCTTGAGCAAATATATAACCTCTCTGACCCTTAGAGTTTTGTTCTTTGAAGATGTCAGACAAGATTTCCCATGTCTTCTCTTGGTCTGCAATTCTGTGATTCATTAACTTTACCTAAGATGGCTGCTATGGTGTGAGGACTTACTTCCAAGGTCAGAAGAGGAGGAATCTTTCTATATCAACTGCTTTTATTTGTGGGATGAAGTTGAGGGAAATAGCACAAACCAACACAGGCACATCCTAAGGCAATTATTAAGAGCATTCCCTTATGTGATAATCAATAAAATCAATCAGCTCCACACCTACGTGCTCGACACCACACTAGACACTTTGGGGATGGGAGACATACGAAAAGACCCTGATTTTAAGGGGCTTCCAAATGAAAGTACACGATAGTAAATAATTAAAAACAAAAGTTTATTACAGGGGTTGTAAGTTCACAAGAGAAGAAAAACCAAAGACAGCTAGATTAGAAACCTCTGTGGAAAGGTGAAACTTCACCTAGATCAACATATAACCATCACCATCACAATAATAATAGCAGCTAATATTTATTAAGTGCCTGATATGTGGCACAAATACGAGTTACGTGCTTTTGTGGGCTATCTCATTTAATCCTCAAAACAACCCTAGAAATAAACACTATTATTGTGCCTATTTTACAGATTGAGAAACGGAGGCCTAGAGAGAAACCTAATATACCTAATGAATGGTAAATCCAGGCAATCTGATCCCAGAGCATTCTACACCATTGAATGGTTATGGAATACTTTTCCCACATGTGACATAAAGGGAAAAGCACAGTATTGGCACACAGTTTACAGTTCCATAAATGTTACTTCCTTTTTCTATCCATCCCTCACCACTATTCACCCCCTAATTCCCATCTCTAACTCATACATATACATACTTCATCTTTTCCAATTTTAACATTCTTCAAAATTCAGCTGAAGTTCCACTGTAGGCAGGAAGATTTCCCAGACCAGTCAAGCTCCTGTCTCCTCTCAAGTCATAGCATTTAATTCCAACAGCCTGTGGGGTGATTATATGCTGTCCAGCGATGTCACAGCACTAGTTAATGTCTTATTAGTGTTTCTGATGTCTTATGGTATTACCAAGATGGCACCTATTTTATTACCATGCATCTTTTGAACTATTGAGTTTTTCATATAGTTGCATTGTGCCAGCTAACTCTAAACTTTGTGTTGCTTCTGGGGTCTTGGCATAGGAGACATCAAGAAGTACTTACCAATTCAAGAGTTTGAGTGTTTCTGAAGTTTTCCTTCATTAGAAAAATGATCCACGTCAAATAAATACAGCCAATACATCAAGGTTTGAGTCTGTAGATATATATTCTTTTTGTGCCCAATGTTGGATAAAAAGGTAATCTGTGCATGTTTGCAATCCTTTTAGCTCTCGTACACTCACAGAACTAAAGCTAACTTCTTCTGAACAACCAAAGAATAATTTTATCTGTTCTTTGTAAATAAAAAAAACAACCAACTAACCCTTTAAAAAAAAAAGCAGTTCCATTGTAGTTACCAGTGGGAAGAGAGGGGGAAGAGGGAGGGGCAAGATGGAGGTGGAGGATTGAGAAGTGCAAATTATCAGGTATAAAAAAGGCTACAAGGATGTATTGTACAACATGAGGAATATAACTAACATTTTATAATAACTATAAATGGAGTATAACCTTTAAAAATTGTGAATTACTATATTGTGTACTGTAACATATAATATTGTATGTTACACTTCAATTTAAGGAGTATATTATAAAATAAATACATGAATTTTTTTAAAAAGTTAAAGCTCTAAACTTTAGGAAACAAAGAACAGTATATATATATACGTAAATTTTTTAGAGTGCGGTATACTATATATATGTATCTACATGCAATATATTGTATATGTATAGTCGAACTGTATCACTTTTACCTAATAAAACTGAAAACTGAAAAAAAAAAAGAAGTTCCAGTTTATGGATTTATTTTAATCTTACAAATTTATTAGCAAATACTATATACACAATATATAAAATTAAATATATTGTATTTATATATACATAAATAAAATATGTAAATATAGCATATATACACAGTTTAAATAATAAAATTTACACTCTGTAGCCATTATGCATCTTAAGAAATGAAACATGAAACAGTATTAGTAAATCTTTAACATCACTGAAATTTTAGTCTAATGCAAATTAAACTTAAAATGGTTATAAAATTACAAGATGATAAAGGAGTTTTTAAAGACTGAAAAAAGACACCAAGCATTACAGGATTATATACTGAGATTAGAAGGAGATTAGATAAATCTAGTCTTATTGATGGTATCAAATATGTAAAAGACTTTTTAAAGTGGGAATTATTTTATTTTCATTAAAGCCCTGCAGTATGAAGTGACTGCATAGCCTGGATTTTTTGGAATTAGTTATAATTTTATTCTATTTCCATAAACCTATTTCTATTCCTGGAAATTACGATATTTTGTTAATCAGGCTAGTCTGCATCTTCTAATCTACCTCTTCTGTCTTGCAACAAAAATTCTTTGTGGAGTCATGTGATCTAAATGTTGCTTTAAGTAAATAAATTATTATAGGTATGAGGGGGGGAGTATCAGGTTGCAAATTTAGGAGATCCTGACTCCAATCTCTGTTGAATTGTTGGCTATGAAGTGAATGTCAGACTTTCAAGTAGCTAACGCAGAGAGGAATACAACCAATATTAAGATCCACAGTACCTATAAGGAAAAACTAAACTAGCAGCACAGGAGAAGCCCAATTATTCCCAACCCTAAGAACTGAGACATATTTTTTTACAAAGTTCTTACAGAGGTAATAGGAACACTGACATCCCTCCTTATAGTAAACATAGTAATATGTTTCAATGGATTTCTTTTTTATCGAGTTACAGTTGATGTACAATATTATATGTTACAGGTGTATAATATAGTGATTCACAATTTTAAAGGTTATACTCCATTTATAGTTATTAGAAAATATTTTCTATATTCCCTGTGTTGTACAATATATCCTTATAGCTTATTTTATACATAATAGTTTATATCTCATAATCCTCTACTCCTATACTGCCCCTCCCAGCTCCCCTCTCCACACTGGTAACCATTAGTTTGTCCTCTATAGCCGTGAGTCTGCTTTTTTTTGGTTATATTCATTAGTTTGTTGTAGTTTTTAGATTCCACATATAAGTGAAATTATACAGTGTTTGTCTTTCTGTCTGACTTATTTCACTTAGCATAATGCCTTCCAGGTCCATCCATGTTGTTGCAAATGTGAAAATTTCCTTCTTTTTATGGCTGAGTAGTATTCCATTTTATATATTATTGAGATATATATCTCTCACATCTTCTTTACCCATTCATATGTTGATAGACACATAGGTTGCTTTTATATGTTGTCAAATGTAAATAATGCTGTTATGAACACTGTGATGCATGTATCTTTTCTAATTAGTGTTTTTGTTTCCACACCCAGGAGTGGAATTTCTGGGTCATATGATAATTCTATTTTTAATTTTTTTGAGAAACCTCCATACTGTTTTCCACAGTGGATGCATCTATTTACATTCCCACCAAAAGCATATTCAGGTTCCCCCTTCTCCACATCTTTGCCAACATCTGTTATTTATGTTCTTTTTGATGATAAAACCATTCTGACAGGCGTGAGGTGATATCTCATTGTGGTTTTGATTTGCATTTCCCTGATGATTAACGATACTGAACATCTTTTCATGTGCCTCTTGGCCATTTATATTTACTGTTTGGAAAATGTCTATTCAAATCTGCCCTTTTTTAAATCAAGTTGTTTGTTTTTTTGATGCTGAATTGTATCAGCTGTTTATATACTTTGGCAATTCACCCCTTATCAGTCAGATAATTTGCAAATATTTTCTCCCATTCAGTAAGTCATCTTTTCGTTCTGTTGATGGTTTCCTTTGCTATGCAAAAGCTTTTAAGTTTAACTAGGTTCAATGGATTTCTCATTGTAACAAATATGCTGAAGACTTCAGATCAAAACACAAATTCACAGACACTAATTTATGCCCTCTAAAATGATACTTTTGGAAAGTGACTCAGCACCTCTTCTGGGTGCAAGTGCTATAGCTCTGTAAAGGTAAACATCTGGAATTTTTACACTGAGAATATTAAAGCAGTTCCATCCTTACTCAAGAATTCAGGTGTTCTGGATTGACCTGCTATTTGTGATTAATTTGCTGGTTCTAGCGTGAATGCAATATACTTGAACTAAATTTCATTAAATTCCAGTGAGATTAAGATAGAATTTATTTTTCTTTCTTGCAGGTAGGTACACAGGGAAGTAAGAAAACGTTTTCTCTCTGGGATTATGCTTGCAATATGTAACAGAAATGTCAGAGTAAGTACAAAATGTGAATGTGCGTTTGTTGCATATGAATATAGGGAGAATTAAAAAAAAATACACCAGTCAATTTCCCAAACTTTGAAGTGATTATTTGCTTTATAAGTTATTTCTTCTGCACAATTTAAGTGTTTAGTAATAGCCCACTGATTATGAGACTAAGACAAGGGAAATTTAAAGCAAAACTATTAGAAGCCACAATCCACTAATAACTGGCCAAAAACTAAAATTATTATGCAAATCAAAAGAAAATAAGGATTAAAGGTAAAAATGTCATTTATTCAAATGTATACAGTGAGGCATTTCTACCAAAGCTATTGCTAATCTCTCTTTAACTGGATTGTATTTGGTTTTTTTTCCCCACAGGATAAAGAAAAAAACCACTAAAGTATCTCTGACCATCAATTCCCCCGTTAACGAAACCTCCAATATCAGATCAAGTTATTCTACCTTAGTTCAGCCGCTGTGTATTGACCCCCAGAGGGTAGGTACAGTTTTAAAGCCTTCTGAGGGGTTCTTGTAATGAAGACACAGGTCTAGAGAGGAAGGAATCACTGTTAACTTTCTTGAAAAGTAAACATGGTCCAGCAGTATGACCTCAGAAAGAAGAAGAAAGAAATCCATAGGTCTCAGAAATAACTCCATGGTAGTTCTGTGGGTTGGCCATTTGTCTGTGTGACAGACCCTAAGGGACAGTTGGTTTCTAGGAGCTCAGTCTCATAATAGAAATTCCAACTATCCAAGGAATGAATTCTTTATTAATTAAAAAAAAGGGAAATGCTTTTTCAAAAACCTAAAGATACAAGAACAACTGTATGGAGGAGGGAACAAATCTAGTCAGTAAAATTTAGAAGTTATTTAAACCTTTAATACATAGTCTCTAAATAACTGCCAATATTCATTTCCCAAATGTAATCAGCCAGATGGTGCAATTTGACCAGCTCAGCTGATGGAATGCTAGAGGAGAGGGGAAAAAGGGTGGCACTGGAACAGACATCCAAGCTGACATTTAAATTAGGAGCATCATGCTTTTCATAAAGGAAATTTAGGGTGTAGGTGGTAGCAGCTAAAACTGATCCAGTTAGTCCACAGCCACCATGCACCTAGGTTTCAGGGCCTTGACAATACGGATGATAGTGTCTCTTCTATTTCTTAAACCAGATGCAGAGTCCCTGCAGCAGCCTGTCAGGATCCACTTGCATTGTAGCCCCTGTATTTACCAAGGTAACCTAGCCACATTGCATGATGGGGTTTAGATTTTATAGTTAAATTTTAGGCATTATCAAAGAGGTAGGAAGAAGGAAAGAGGACACTAAAAAGGACCTCAGAGATTATAATTATTTTATATATGAGAAAACCAAGTCCCAAGAAGGGTAAAATTATTGTTCAACTTTACAGAGCAACTCATGGTTTTTTCTATGCTCTTTAGACTTCTGCTTTGTGTCAATCCTCCAGCTCTGGAAGGCAGTGCTTAGACTATCCTTTCCAAGCAGACTATGCTCTGCCTGACCTCAAGATTCATCAGATTCTCTTAACTGGTGTAAGATGCTCTTCTGAAGAAGTCTATGAGCAAAGCCATGTCTATTTCCTGCTTGGGTCACAGTCAGAGAGCAGGATTGAAAAGCCTTCTCTCTTTCCCACTGGAAATAGCAGGATTCAATCAGCTGGTTAAAGCAAGCCAAGGCTGTTATCTTCTCTGGGCTCTCTGTCCTCCAGTTTCCAAGACTTGCAGAACCAAAACTATTGCTCATTGCTAGTCCAAGGTATGAAAAGCAGGGCAGGGTCTTAAACTATACCAGATACAGGATGGGAGGCACAGGAAACAATGTCATTAAGATTAAGACTATCAATTCTGGAAGCTCACTTTCAGCAGATGCTATGAAGCACATGCGTCTATTATCTCCATGTCTCCTCTCTTGCTGCATTCCTTTTCCCATGATATGCAGCCCTGACTGGGCATCAGGCTCAAAGGCTGGGCTGGTGGTCATTAAGTCCTAACTAGGTCTCATCTGACAGAAGGACCTCAGACCCTCTCTGGTCTGAGGACCAAGTTACAATCTGAAATTTAACTCTACATTCTAGAGGACCCTGGAGCTGGGAATAGGAGAGGAGGGAGAATAGGATTTAAGGGGTAAATTTACCACAAATGCCACCCATTCATGTATGCATTATGAGACTACACTAGCTATTGTTAATAAATACTTTTTATATATCGATATAACTCTTCATTTTTAAAAGAAAGTCTCCAGATTACTTCTCTGACATGACCTTCAAACCCTCAAGTACACTGAACATTTTGCTAGCCCTATTGCACAGACAAAGAACTTGAGTTCCACAAAGTATAAGAGTCTTCCAAGTTCCTATGACAGGTTTTAACCAGCTAATGTCAGAGCTGAGATTTTGGCCCAAGTCCTCTAAGTCATGATTCGGAATTCTTAAATTACAATACTGCCCATGCTACTTGACCAACAATAAAGATTAAATCTGTGACTATGAGGTATTCAATAAAATAATACAACAAAGTGAAGACTTTCCAACTAATCTGTTTTCTATTGTGAAAAATGGCTCCTGGGGAAATAACAACTTTCTCACTAAATAACTCCATGAAATTAAGATGAAAATAACTTATACCTAACTGTAAAGTTATATACTTATGTACACTATAAAGCACAAAAGATGCTCAGCAAGCTCCTTCTTTTAAAGTATAGTCGGTTATCAGTACTTACTATGAAAATGCATGCACACTTACCTGCAACTGGCATCCCAAACCGCTGTATATGGTGAAACAGTTTCTTCCATTCTGTGAATTCTGTGTTTGTTCTTCAGCACCTTCAAGACATCTCTACAACCAGAGGGCAGTTTGTTGTGTTTGAATGTCGAGTCCAGGCCACAGCCACAGTTCAAGTTCACTGGTATAGAGAGAAGGAGCAGATAGCAGACTCAGACGACTTCCGAATTCTGAGGAAAAGTACAGTGATAAGCTTTTCAATTTACTTTTCACTCTGAATAATCCCGAAATCTAATTCATGTTTTAATGTTTAATAGCTGATTTGTTACAGGTTCAGAAATTTCTACTGTGAAACAATTGTTATTTCAAATCTAAATGATTCCTCAACATAAACAACCAAAAAAGAAAAAAAGCTGTTTTGTTTTGATGAATAGTTTTAATAGCTGTAAAAAGACCAGATTATTTTCATAGATTAATCTTAATTATCTTCCTAATGAGTTCTTGGCATACAAACAAGAAAAATGTGAGAATAAGCATATTTTTCAAAGAGTAAAACAAATGAAACTGATGCATAACTTTCTAAATACTTTGTTGTATCAGCTTCCTACCAAATAATTAATTTGGAAAAGGGTAACAAGTATGATGACCTACCTCATGCTAAACACTGAGTTTAAATATAAACAATTTTTCATCCTCACATCAATATTTTGAGGTATGTGTTATCAATTCCATTTTATAAGCAAGCAAACTGAAATTAGAAATTTCACCTTGCCAAAGGTCACAAAGCTAATAAACACTGCAGCCTAGGTTCAAGACCAAGATAGTTCTTACACCAAGCAAAGAAAATATATCCACTTAAATATTAATTCAAAACAACTGAACATTTCCACATCATCACATTTAGGAAGAAATATCTATTACACAATATGAATTTGCTTTCAAAATTACATTACTTGTATTTTCTGAAACTAAAGGAATATAAATTTATTATAATAAATCTAGAAAAATATATTATAAAAAAGAATAAATATAAAATTACTAATATTCTCACCACCCAGAGAAGACTATTAACCTTTTGTGTATTTTTTTACAGCAATTCTATAGTATTTTTATAATGTAATATTCAATTTTAATTAGATTAAAAGAGAAGGATTTTCTCAGGAGAAAGAGACCTCCTTAGGATTAGTGTTTCAGCAACAGTTCTCACTCAGAGAAGAGATGTTATATAGTCTTACCTTCATGTTAGACATGAAGAACTAAGGCCCAGAGAAGTAATTTTTACAAAATCACAGAGCAATTTAATGGTAGAACAGAACTGAAACACAGTTTTTCTAGCACCCTGCCAAGCGTTCATTCTATTATGCACCTTTTCTGAGTTTCTACAGAATTTATCATCTGACTCAAAATTACAGTCAACATTGTATTTGCTTCAAGTTATTTCTCATATATACATGGTCGCTTCTCCCAACTAAATTGTCATCATTTAAATTCTCTCTCTATTCTCTTCTTTTATCTTTCAGAAGCTTGTTTATCACCCATTCCTGGTAAGCACAATTTTTCAGCATCTTGATAATAATAATTAAATCAAATATAGCATTAGAAGACTTTGTCTCCTACGTTACTTTTGCCTTCAGGAGGAGTTTTGAGGCTACCTTATGCCAACTCTTTAACTGACACAACAGAAGCAGCAAGATAATTGGAATTTATCAGTGTATTTGTTCATTCATTCATTCATTCAACATGTATTTACTATAGACAGGGTACGGCCACATTCCATTCTTGGCCCTGAGAAGCCTCTGCCCTCAGGGCATGCGTTCTTCCTCTAATTCCACTTGGTGTATTATTGGTGCCTTGTGAGCTATACACAGAGGCAGTAAGGAAGTGTCCTGACATCAAACATCCACACTGAATGTAGGTGTTCTGCCCATCACACAGTGGCCATCATTGTACTAACATTAGGTCTAATTACCATGGCAATGATAATTTTTAGGTCAGTTCAGAAAAATCTTTCTATGGTCCTTTGTGCTAACCCCTCAAGCTTACAGAAATATGCAAGTCGAGGAATAAAGTATAATCCCTGCTTTCAAGAAACTCATAGCCAAGTAGAGAAGACAGATGTGCCTAAGAAGCAGGTGATAGGCACCATGCTGGGATTGTTTTAGGTTGTATTTTTAAGATTTATCTTCATGAGCCCACTCAATGACAAAAATCTAATCAGATGGATTTTTTTTTTTTAAATCTCAGGAATACCCTATTTATTCCTAGTGCCT